AAAAAAAAAAAAAAAACCAAAGCAAGTTAGATCTATCCACGAGAATTGAGGAGGAGGTCAAGTCATATTTGGGAATTGGAGGAGAGAAGAGAAGGAATCAAATGACAAAATGGAGGGACAATGCAAGCATGGAAGAACTACTTCGGGAAATATTTTCTGGGAAATAAAACAATTTTTCTGGTTTTTTTAGTTTTGTTTAATAAATGGGATGAAGGATGAATTTTATTTTTTTTCCCTAAAAAATGTGAAATACGAAGAGGGGAGAGTGGTATGATGATGAAAAGACGAGTAAGCCCCGCCTAGGGAGGTGCTTTCTATAAGTGGAAATAATGCAGGGTCTTAACCGTCTTTTTTCTTTTTTTTTTTTGGTAAATGTCTTAACAGTCTTTCACTCCGTCTGACGAAATCGTGCGATCTTCAACGCGATCGCTGAACCTGAAAACGTTGAGAAAGGATTGAGAATGGAGGAACCGAAAACGACGTTGAGAAAGGATTGAGAATACTTATTAAACAGATTTCTGTTCTATTTATTATTATTCGAACTTAATACAGTACCTAATACTTATATCTTTCCCAATTCGACTTGGATCTGATCGTATCGAGAATTAAGCCATGTGTCTTATCGATTGGTTTTATCGAGTTCCTGCTTCCCTCGGTCTGTGGCAGAAGGAGGCGACGATCTTGCTTCTGGGTCCTCAAAGTGATGAAAAGGCCGCCTTGCTTTCTATGTCGAGAGATAGGGTTCGTTTTCAATTTCATAATTATCTGTGTTTATTTGATTTTTCATCAGTTGGGTTTAATTGTTGTGACCGATTTGTTCGGTTTTTATCTAACTGGAATGAAATTCTGAATCCCTAAATCTTGTTTCATCGTTTACGATTCGTAAAACTCAGAATTCCCCTCTTAATTGAACCTGACTTGTGAGCTGATTTTCATCTTTTGAGCTAGGAAAAGATGAAAAACTGATGAACTTAACTGATTAAGTGCCCCCACATGCTTCATTTTACCTTATCTGCTTGAATATCAATAATAACTACTAGGGACTAG